TTGAAAGATTTCCTTCTCATGTTCTTCACTGCAAGTAAATCTCCAAACTAACGAGCTTATCCATCTCGTTCTGCTATTTTAAAGATTTTGAAAAATAGCAGAAAAATTGAAGGATTAAAAAAGTAAATTAAATCTATAAAATATAGTTTTTAAAAATTGTCGATGAGTAAAGGCGAAAAAACGGTGTAGGCGAGAATCATGACGACCACACAAGAGATTGAGTGAATGACAAAATTGAGGTTTACAAGCTCGTGTTCTGTTTTTGGCCCGAAGATGAACAAAACTAAATTGAGGAACGTGAAATGTGTTTTGACGCACTCGAGTTTTCCCGTTTCTTTATTCAATCTATATTTTAGTTTATTAATAGTAATTTAATTGTAAATAACAAGTCTATCACGCGTTGACCAACAAACTTTGGGAGTCGATGTCTTGGGCAGAAAATGAAACCGAACAATTGCGGAATGGAGATCACAAAGTTGATTAATTCTGGCATAAATAAACATAACATCAATCTGTCATATCCGCCAATAATGGAAGCCACACCAAGTACTCCACCCGAGAAATATGTGAACGAATCCCCAACAAAGACTTTACTTGGGAATTTGTTATAGTAAAACAGAACTAAAGTTATAGCAAAAAATGGGATCAAGAGTTGTAGAGAAGCGAGTGCTGCAGTATGTTGACTTTCTGAGACGTTTGCGAATAAAGTGATGACGTTGTGCAACATGGCAAAAGCGCTAATGATTAAGCATTGTCCCGATTCAAGGCCGTTAACCCCCGCATACATATTAATAGAATTCGCAAAAAAGACGGAAAGACAGACCAAACAGAGTAAATAGAACCATGACAATTTATATCCAAATAGTACAGTAGTTCCTGGATATAATACAACTACTAATATCGACGCACAGAACGATAATATCAGTTTATACCTCCATCGAATATCCAAAAAGTCGTCAATTACTCCAATCAAAAAAGTGAAGACAATGACTAATAAACTAATAGTATAATTCTGGTTTGAAAGTACTAAAGAATAGATCATCGTCACAAACATAAATACTAATCCTGTGACTAATCCATTCGATTCAGCTACTTTATCACTCGTCCCTTTATTTATATCAAGACCATATAACCCTTTTTGAATACACTTCTCCGCTATATGTGGGGTTAATTCAAATGCCGCAAAGGAGCCAACAGTCGATAATCCTATTAACAGAACAGTTTGACTGAATTCATTGAGGTTCTCCCGCATTGGAAAGAGGACTCCAACAAGAAGTAACCCAAACACCCCACAGTAAAACGACGAGGAATTCATGTGACTATTTTCAGTTCCAATTACCCCAATTTCCTCACAAAAGTTTCCAATTCAAAATTCTACTGAGAAATTAAGAAATTTATTCAATTAATTAAATTATACTATTGTATCTAGTAAAAATAAGTACTATAACTGAATAGTTTGAAGACCTAAAAATGTAATAAAGTAATTAGAAGTGGCAGACGACACAGGAGATGTTATCTTCAGAGCCAAGAATGAAAGCCATATCTCTAATATACCCCGCAATCTCTGACATTCTCTTTGTCCCTTCTTTCTTTCTGCAAATATCAGCAACTTTTTCATTAGTTAACACATCCCAGACACCATCGCACCCCATCACAATACACATGTCCGTATCTTTACGTCGGACATATCGATTCACATGAGGCTCCGATGATACAAATGGTTGGAATCTGACATCTCCTATTGATCTTGTAATAGCCAAGACACCATTCACTCTTCCTTTAGTCACATATCCGCCAACAGAAACTATTCGTTCAATTTCAGATGGTGCCGTTGCCTTATCGTCTTCAGTAAGTTGTTCATGGTCTTGTTTTCGTACAACAATAGCGCGCGAATCACCAACGTGAGCCGTGTAATATTCATTCGGCGTCACTAACAACACACACGCCGTTGTACCATCATTGAACTCCTTCTTGTTGACGTCTGCAGTCAACTCATTGAACGTCTCAATGAGTGCGGCGTCGACTCCCAAGTTATTTTCAGTGAGTAAATGTTTCTTCAATATTCTCGCGAAGTGGCACGCAACGTAATTCGACGACTCCGCGCCTCCGTGCCCATCAAACAGCCCAATTAAATGGACTCCGCCCGCCGTGAAGTTTTCAATCAGAATCAGTGCGTCTTCCATTTGATCTCGATTTCCACACATTTCCGCACTCCCAAAGGTGAACGTGTCGTTTGAAATAGCGACGTTATTAAATCGCATCGAATTGGGTTTCCCAAGTGAAAAGTGTTCGGTCGGGTTTTGTGCTTTGAACGGGACGGGACCGGTGATGGGGGTTTTCAGTGTCGACGCGAACTTATTGAGCTTCACCTTGTCATTGATAGTGCAGTGGAAATTCGTCAGTCGCGTCAATGTCGACGCAAAGAACATCGGGAAGTTCTCCGTCGACGAGAAGTCTCCGTTATACGACAAGTCCAAAGTCCTCAGTGACGTCATCGCACAGATCTTGATCGGACAGTCGAAGATTTCATTCGTCGACAAGTCGAGATCTTTGATTGCAACCAAATTAGTAATAGGCGTGACATCTTTAATGAAGTTACACGACAATTCCAATGTCTCCAAATTTGTAAGTAACGAGAACTTCTCCGGCAGCTCTGGAATTTGGTTACAATTCAAGAAGAGTTCGATCAATTTGCCCATAGAAAAGAGAGACTCGGGGATCTTCGACAACTTATTGTGTTCAAGATGTAAAGAAGTCAAATTGGTTAACTCACTCATAGTGTCTGGGAGTCGATCTATGATGTTAATACCAAGAAGAAGTTCTTCCAACTTAGCAAAGCAGCTGTATGAGATATCCGGCAATGAGTCGAGATAATTGTTCGACATATTAAGACAGACCAAATTCGTACACGTCGTGATAGCCATTGGGAACGCGTTGAATGAATTCGAAGACAAATCCAATTCAGTCAAACTTGTTCCTGTGAACATCTCCTCGGGGACACTTCCAAGCATATTCTTTGGAATAATCAACGTCTTAATCACTGAGAGTTTCTTAATATTTGGAAACTCTTTCAATTTGTTGTTCGACAAGTTAAGTCTATGAATGGTGTACTCCATTTCCGGCAAATCAATTTCAACGATTTGATTGTTTGACAAATCGACATCGCCCGAGATCGGAAGCTCCGTGACCTTCTCAAGTTCTCCATTGGACAAATTGAGTTCGGACACTTTAATAAACTTCTGAAGACCACTTGGAGGGACTTTCACTGATGTATGTTGAAGAGTTAACTTTCTAAGACCAGTTAATAGCATGAAAGACTTGGGCAATGTCTTTAAAAGGGAATACGAGAAGTCGATTTCTTTAATAGTTGTTAAACTAGAAATTTGATCGTTAATTTCATTCACTGGATTTGCAGAGACATCTAACACAGAAAGTTTAGTCAACTTACATAACGATGGAGTGATCTTATCAATTCGATTGTTTGAGATATCTAAGATCTGCAAAGACGCCATCTTCGACATCCCATTTGGCGTCGTCGCGATTTTGTTGTCCTTCACTTTTAAGACAACCAATCCCGTTAACTCAAGCAATGGAGTCGGGAAGTTACTCAATAAGTTATTAGAGACATCGATGAAAGTGAGATTGGAGAGTTTCGACATGTGCTTTGGGATAGCGAGAATACGATTAATACTCATATCGATGTACCTCAGTGCTTGCATCGTACCAAACTCATCTGAAATTTTTGTGATTTGGTTGATGGACATATTCAACTCAGTCAAAGAAGTCAGTTTAATTGACTTTGAGAACTTCTTCAAATGGTTACTGGACAAGTCCAAAGTCTTAAGAGTCGGGATGTTAATCTGATTCGGTAACGTTTTAATCATGTTGTCATTCGCTCGCAATTTTTGCAATTTTGGAATGGAGTTGACTTGTGACGGCAATTCTTGAATTCTATTCATCGAGATATCTATGGAGACTAAATTCTTTATCTCTTTCTTGACTTCTTCAGATGGAAACTCAATCAAATTCTTCGCATGTTTCACAATCTTCGCTTCAGCCATTTGATTTCAAGTTTGAGACGTTCGTTTCTAGTTCATGTTATTTTTGCTCAAAAGAACGATTCAAAATCTAATTGAGTAATGAAAATTGTGTGGTTTGGGAAAAAATATAGTTTTTGTATAATTATCGTTACTATATGATTTCCATTTGTTGAGTGATGGAATTAAGAGATTTAAAATTTAAACTATTTCAGTTAAAAAAAAAATTGAAGTTTTTAGAAATCGTTTTTTCAAAAATTATTTATTTCAAAAATTACTATTCGAATTGTAAAATTATTAATAAAATACATCTGGTTATGAAAAAAAATTGCATCAACAACAATTATTTCAATTTCAAGTTTGATAATTTGATTTTTTAAACTTGGAGATTTTTGATAAATTTCATAAAAAATCCAAAATAACAGAAAATTAACATTTTTTACTACAAAAAATATCCAAAAAGTAGAAAATAATTATTAATTAATGAATAAATAATATAAAGTTATACTTTAATTAATTGTTTATTTAAAAACGATTTATTTTGATTTCTTATTTAAAAACCAAATAAAAAAGCCTCAGATAATCCGATAAATCTTCATAATTCAGATGTCCCTATCTTATCTTCATCACTGGCTTAGATTTTATTTAATTTATAAATTAAATTAGGATTTCTATATCCAACAATAAGAAAAATGATACTTGATTGGTATTAATGCTTTTTTCTATATTATGGGGTTTATTGTTTAATATTAACATATACTATATAGTTTACTATCCATATGAAAGAATTTTGTAATATATTTTACTATAACTATTTCTACTGTTCTATTTATAACAATTAAAAGAAATAGTAAGGAAAAACCAAATCATATCAATAATAATATACAGTTTTGAAACCCTTGCAAATAGCAAACTGGAAAAATAGTGTAGGATGGTCAGAGTCAACGTTCTTGCTGATGCACTTAAATCAATTACTAACGCTGAAAGAGCCGGTAAGAGACAGGTCCTTATCAGACCATCATCCAAGGTGATTTGCGAATTTTTGAACATCATGATGAAACACCAATACATCACCGACTACACTATTGTCGACGATCACAGATCTGGAAAAATCGTCGTCAACTTGAACGGAAGACTCAACAAGTGCGCCGTCATCTCCCCAAGATACAACGTTGCCGTCGAAGAGTTCGACAGCTGGGAAGCCAACTTGTTGCCATCTCGTCACTTCGGAGCTATCGTCTACACCACCTCTATGGGTATTATGGACAACACTGAAGCCAGAGCCAAACACACTGGTGGAAAGATCCTTGGGTTCTTCTATTAATCGATTTCCCCTTTATTGCTTTTTGTTTTTTTTCAAATTTCCGCCTTTATATATCTTTATCTTTCCACCTTATTGTTGTTATAAACATAAAATGATTTACTATTTCTCACTAATTGTGAAATTAAAATAAAACTATATGCAAACTAATAAAAATATAGAAAAATGGATAAAGATGCCCAATCTCAGCTATTGCGGAATGGAGTCGCGTCATTACGGAAAGAAGCCGAGAAAATGACAGACGGTGAGATTGTTGGGATGGAACAGCAGAGCCTTTTTCTTGAAAATAATTTTGAGGCATTTTTCTCGTCCAACATTCCTCATGTAATTTTTATCAATGTTTGTTTTATGACCAACTGTATAATATTTTAATAGTAAAATTATTAAAAATAATAATATAATATCCATGAATAATACAAAGGGAACACCAGGCACAGGCAAGACCATGTTAGTCAAGCACTTCCTAGCAAAATACAAAGAGCAAATTCGTCCGTTTTATTTTAATGCGATGGAAGAAGAGACCCTCGACGCGCTTCAAAAACATTTGCTAAAACAATTTAATCAAGATCAACACAAATCATTTGATTTCAGAACGAGTTCAATACAGAGAAGTATTTCCACTGGTTTTTCATATTACAAAAACTCAATTTTAATCATCGACGAGTTTGATTCTTTTCTGGACAACGAGCAAAAAGACAATTTATACTCCTTCTTTAATTCTCTTTCCGACTTGAAATGCCACGTCCTTATCATCTTGATTTCAAATGCCGTCAGCGACACTTTCCGACAAGGGTCAAGTACGTCATCGCGCTTTCAGTACCTCTCAAAGACGTTTCCGCGCTTCACTCCGGAGAGGCTCAAACAAATCATCCTTGCGCGGGTTGGAAAAGAAGTTATCGACTTAGTGTTTAGTAAAGAAGACTATCAATATTTCCTCGAGACGATAGTAGAAGCTACAATGGCTGGAGGAGATGTTAGGAAAGTGATAGGGATGGTATTATCTATTATACAAGGGGCTTTGGATCGAATGGAGAATAATGAAGATCCAAGATTGAGTCATAGAGATGTTTTGGAGTTGTTCGACCACAAAATCGGTAATCCACTCACGGGATGTTCTCAATTTGAGATTGTGATTTTGTACTGTTTGTTGAAATTAAATGAGGAGGAAAGAAATATCCAAAATCTCATGCTCAGACTTGGCGGAATGAAATCGAAGATTAACCATCTCATTGCTTGGAATGACGTAATGCTCCAATACGCATTGAAGAGACTCGAAGACAGGGATTTCTTGCACGTCAAAACTGGCACAAAGAAACTTTTCGTTGTAGACAACTCATTCTTACCCGACGTTGTGGACGCAATTAATAACATCCCTGATGTGGTGGATGTTATTGAGTAATCTCTCTGTTTTATGTATAGTTTTTTTTTATCGTTATATTATAATTTTATCAAGCATAATCAGTATAGTTAAATTATAATTAATTTATAGTGTAGATACAGTGTTTTTCGTTTTGTTAAAAGTGAAAAATTCTATAATTTATAATTAAATAAATAATAAACAATATCATACCAATTTGATTAAATCTATTTATGGATTATTAAAACCAAGATTGCATAATTAATTGTTACTATAAACAAACTATATGAATTAACATCAAACAACAGTTTGAGCATAAAGATTTTCATTTTTCAATCAAATTATCAAAAATGGAAAAGACAAGAACTGACAGAACGAGAGGACATTTGGGGGTTGAAAAATGGGAAAAAGTGTTGTACCAAAAGTGGTTTTTCTGACTGAGTCAAGAAGAGTCTAAAAATGGGAAGATAAAACAAAGGAAGAATAAAAAACAAGTCACATGACACATTCCATCGCTTTTGGCTGTTGTTGCTTGGTTTGTGGTGGTAAGTGCAAGAGCATCTTCATATTAAGAGAATGGGGTGGTCTTGGCTTTTTGTTGTTGGCGGCGGTAAGGGACGAAGGGTGATTCGTCTTTAAGACAAACATCATTGACTGCTTCGCGATGTCTGACTTCGACCAATTAATCGGCACGTCCATCTTCTTCACCTTTTTCTTGTCTTTTCTGTCTAATTTTGACATCGTGTATATGGGGATACTCGCAAGCCGCATACTTCTCGACTTCGAACGGCGCTCTTTTGGTCGTTGTGCACCTTGCAGCACAAGATTTGACTCTGGAATCCTTTTATCAGCAAATGGATGCACCATTGGTTCAAGTGATTTTGTTGGTGCTTGGTGGCGTTCTATTGGTTGGTGGGGCAAAAAGAGCTTGGCCGCCTTGGGTTGTGTCTTGGCTGAAGTCTTTGGTGGGCTCACCATGCGGAGTACCGGTCGTGCGACATCCTTTCTTGTTTGGTCCATTTAATTATTTAGTTCACTGTATTCCAACAAAAAGTCAAAAAGGTGGGTATACCATAATTTATAATTATTTTTATAATAAATTACTATATCGTCTTTCAAACAATAAAAAGTTCCATGGACTTGATTTTTAGTAGCTTAATAGTTAAATTTACCATTTGTTATAATTTCTAAAAAATAGTTCAAGGGTGGTAAAAAATAGAATTCCCATTTCGGGTTTTGAAAAGACAATTTTTCTTAATTTGTTTTCTTTAATAATTACTAGTTAAAATATTGGTTAATTTTACTATATTCAGTTGGTATTCATTTTTGTTCATCTGTTTTCAGCAAAGACAATTGTTTTTGACCGATTGTTAATTGTATAGTTTGAATTATAATATTTATTTAATATTTTATATTTTTATGTAAAAATAGAATTTATTATTTAAAATTATTTACATTGAGGCAGTTTTCTCTTTTCGATACCAACATAGTATTTTATCATTTTTCCATTTATTAACTTAGATTTGACATTTTTAAATATGGTTATTTTACCTATTAATTGTAGTTAAATGTCTTTTCTTTAGTTTAAAAGTGAAACTACAAGAATAATAAATAATACTATATTGATAAACTAGATAAAACCATAACAAAATGTATAACATTTTTAGAATAATTGAGTCTTAAAGTGGTACTTGAAAGAAGTCCCATCTTTACGAGGCATACAAGTGTTTGTTTTTACAACTTCGATTTTGCTAATTTCTCCTTTACACTTGTCTTGGCTATAAAACTTCTTAAAAATCATTTTTCCTAAAGAAGAGAATTTGACGTATTGATTATCATCTGTCTTGATACAACCTCTTTGGAAGTAAATTGTTTCAGGAGTTGATTTACTAAAAGAGAAACATAGGTTTGAATTTGGAAAATTAAAAACTGAAACGAAGTACGAAGGAATGGAATCAACTATGTTGACACCACCAGTTACATCCATAATATCCTCCATAATATCACATGAATTTCCCCAAAATAGAGATACTGTTTGGTTGTCTTTTGCGATCTCAAAACGTACAAAAGATGTAGTACCTTCATAACAAGTACTCTCTTTGAAAGCTGAAAAAGAATCTGTTACAAGTCCATTGAGTAAATATCTTGAAGATACGCTTAAGAATAAAAGGGATACAAAGAACAACATACTTTGCTTTTTTTGTTCTTTTACAAATCTTTATCAATGGAAACCTCTGTTGATTGTTTCAAGTTATTCCAATGTTTTTTACATAACAATTGTCATCATTTTTTAATGTTAAAAATTCGTAATGTCATTCATTATATTGTCAAGTTTTAAACACAATTTTATTTCATTATAAAATGTACTATTAAATATAATAAATTTGTTAATGATAAAATGATATAATAGTTAAATGAATAACTTTTGAAATTCATGAGGTTCTTTTTTGGCAAATTGATTGACCAGTTTTTATTTCGAGTATTAATAAAATTATTTTTATTAAAATAATTATTAATTATTGATACTTTACTTAATAATAAGACATAATTTGCTCCAAACAAAATATCATGTTTTTTTTAAAATCAGCTAAAAATTATTTAAAAATAAATCAAATACGTTTTTTAGTACAAAAACAGCGAATTAATCAACATTTGAAAATAAAAAAATCTTTTTTTAAGAAAATCAATAATAAAAACGAATGAATTAATCGGGTCTATAAGGTCTGTATTCTATAGTTGCAGATCCTGGTTCTGTATAACATCTGTTAAAATAGAATTGGACTGTTTTATCAGCTGTTCCTGAGCAGTCTTCTGTATGATAATAACTCTTCAAGAGGAAATTGAGTATTGTAGTAAATTTAACGTACTTGTCTTTATGTTTAAGACATCCTCTCGGGAAATAAACAGTTTCAGGAAGAGATTGATCGATAGTAGTACAATTATGCGATTTGAAATACCCTTCCATTCCAGTAACATATCTTGGAATATGTTCCATGACTTGTACTCCCGTTTCAATAAGTGTGTGTATTAACATTGTTGCACAATTTGGCCCTTCATGCAACTCAACAGTATCATCTTCATTAATTCTAAAGATATAGAAAGACGTTCTTCCTTCGTAGCAAAAATCTTCTTTGAAAGCATAAAATGCAGCATCTAATCGCCCAGACACAACATACCGGGATTTCACTCCTAAAAATAAAAGAACAGCAACCAAAAACATTTAAACTTTTGAATTTTTTGTTTCTGAAAGATATTTTATACCCAGTTTTGTCCTCTGAATAACATTTCAACAGATTGTGAATTACTTTTTGCTCAACTTCATGTTGATAAATATTTTTCTTTTTTAATTCACTTTTAACATAACTGTTTCGAGTCTCTTTTATGACTTCTTTAATTTATACCTTTTAAAAAAAACTAACAATATATTATAATCAAATTAAAACAATATTATCTAAGATAGAATTAAAGATAATTTATCTTTAATTCAATGTTTTGTCAAATAGATTAGTTTTATTTATTTTTTTTTTCATCATAAATAATTTGAATATAACTATATTATAGTTATTATTTATTAAATAAAAAAATGTTGTTGTCAAATATAAAACAACTTTTATTATAATATTATTACCAACAAAAAACTATTATAAATGGTAAAATCATTTTATTGTTATAATATTATTTGTAAAACTAAAATAACATTTTAAAAAAACATTTTAAATCAACTGTTCACTTTTCTTTCATTTTTAATTTTATTAAAAAAGAAAAATAGTTTTCTTTACTAATTATTTTGCACTCAACCGACTATTTTTTCTTTTTTTTAACCGAAAAAATTAGACAATTTTTATAATAATAAAATATTATACCAAAATATCTTATTAATTTTTTTTGAAATACAAATTAAACTATTTTTTAATGGTAAATTTATTTATATCAAACAAATATAAATAATATATCATAGTAAAAAAATAGTAAAACCAACAATCTAAAATGCCATGACATTTTTATTATCATTCATTGCTAAACAAAGTAACTGATCATCGAAAAAAACAAAACTAAGGAAGAAGAACAAGTTATTTTTTTCTGACTTTTTTTTCAAGGGTTTTTCAATTATAAGATTGAGTGAACTTCAAAATGCAAAGAAGATGTCCACATCGATTCGTCGTACTGTTTCTATGAGTAAGCTAAAGACTGGAAGGTCTTCAGCTGATGGTGTTCCAATTAACTACAACGACGACAAATTCAAGAAATTGTGGGATACTTATTCCTTTTATTTGGCTAAGGGTTTGTTACCTTGTTAGAACCAATTTCAATTCCTTAAAAGAGTACTGACAGACAGACGTCGAAACCATAAAGCGCCAAATAACAAACCACATTGAATACACCATGGCGTGCAATCGTGTTGATTTCCGCCCTTATGCCATTTACGCTGCAGCTGCTCATTCCCTGAGAGACAGAGTTCTTGAGTTTTGGAACGACACACAGCAATACTTCACTGATGTCCAGACAAAGAGAGTGTACTACATGTCCATTGAATACTTGATTGGGCGTTCATTAGTCAATTCCATCAGTAACTTAGGACTTGATGACAATTATAAAGATGCTTTGAAGTTCTTTGGTTCTTCCATTGAAGAATTGTATGAGTACGAAGATGACGCCGCATTGGGATCTGGTGGACTTGGAAGACTTGCTGCGTGTTACTTGGATTCACTTGCCACGTTGAATTACCCAGCTTGGGGATATGGTATTAGATATCAGTATGGTATGTTCAAGCAAAAAATTGTCGACGGATACCAAATTGAAATGCCGGAGTATTGGCTTGAGGCTGGAAACCCATGGGAAGTCATGAGAGCGGATGTCAAATACGAAATCAAGTTTGGTGGGCACGTCATTGTAGTGAGAGATGTTAAGGGCAAATTGAAACATGTCTGGATGAATAGTGAAGCTGTCAACGCCATCGCATTTGATGTTCCTGTTCCGGGTTATAAGACCGTCAACACACTGAATTTGAGATTGTGGAGCTCCCAACCAACAACTGAATTTGACTTTGCTGGGTTCAATAGTGATGAGAATTCTCATATGTATTGGGACGCGTTGGCTGAACAACAGAAACAAGAACAAATCTGCAAAGTTTTGTATCCAAAGAACGACAACGAGAAAGGACAGGCACTCCGATTGCAACAGGAGTACTTCTTCTCCTCTGCTACCATCATGGATATCGTCAGAAGATTCAAGAAGATGAAAAAGCCCTTCGACGAATTCCCAGAGTACACTGCAATTCAGTTGAACGATACTCACCCCGTCATTGGTGCTCTTGAGTTGCTCAGAATATTAATTGATATTGAAGGACTTGACTTCTCAAACGCATTTGATATTGTTAACAAAACTGTGTCATACAC